CTTAGGAGGTCTAACTTTGGTCATAGCTGATATGGACAATACACTATACTAGTTAGTAGGTCACATCGCCCCTAACACGTCTTCATGGGCTCAGCGTAAAACTCTATGACAGAGCCATGCATAGAATATCATATACTATTGAGTGTTTAGTACATACTCTGGAAGGATATCCCCACCGCAATGGAACGTAGATCCACCACCCCGAAACGAGACGTTGCCGTGATTAAGCGAATCCCTCAGAAGTTCGAAATTTAGAACCGCGCTCGCCACGAAATTATGTGCTCTGACCGTAACCCCACAACTGAGCGCAATCACGACCGAGCGCAACACAACTGAGCGCAAAACTTCATGTAGAAAACTACAATCAACTCCTTCTCCAACGTCAATTAGTAGTACAGCGGTTGGGGTGTTTGTCAGGGTTAGCTGTTGGCAACTGCCTGTTGCTGTGAAACAGCTCCCTGACGCTCTCGACTAGTCGTACATTTTGTGCCTTGTGAATGATTCACTGCCAAGTCTTGAGTGGTTTACACTAGTGACTTGGCTTAACTCGTACGCCACCGTGACGTACTACCGTAGTACTACTACGACTAGTCGAGGGCCCCTGTACCACTAAAGAAAAAAAAAATTGTTCATACCGTAGTTGAAACAGAATCGCTGCACATAACTCCATGGACTCTGTTTATTCGACAATCTGTTACCAACGTGAAATTCTTTATGCCCGGAGCGCGAGTTCGTCGCGCTTCCGAAGCACGTAACTACCCAAACTGGTGCCACATATGCAAAGGTAAATGCGGCGAGCGCCATTTCCCCCATTGCGTTGTGCAGTCGTTGAACTTGCTCCCTTACAGAACCTTCAGGTTCTGTAAGGGAGCTCCATTCAAGGATAGGAGCACCTTTTGAGCGCATAAGCTTGCCGTTGGTTAATCTAACCGATTTTATCCAGGTTCCTTTGCTTCGACCGGGAGAGCGAAAGGCTGTATCGGGAAGTCGGGAGTTCGATCCCAAATCACGTGAATGTCTTTTACTTCTCTCGGCGCAATTCCGATTTTTGGCTCCCGTTTCGGGCCGTTTCTCAGCTATCCACTAGTGTGAAATTCTCTTCTGGCGAGATCCGGTCATTGACAACGAAGGGCAGACTCCAATGTTTAACGAGACACTGATATCACACTACAGAGAAACCGAGAAGTTGAAGAAACGGGCAAGTGAGACACACACAATCACGTTGTAAAGTTGCCGGCCTTAGAGCGCCTTCGAATATTTTTCGTTGCCATCGTGGGGA